TAAGTCCCTCTAAGAGCCGACTGAGCAGTTCCTGAGGGACTTTAGACCCTCATCCTCTTAATTCGGAAAACCGGGTCAATCGGAAACTCGCCTCCAAGTCGTAGTCCAACGGATCAAATGGCCGCTGCACTGACACCGACTGACCCCCAGAGCACACCTCCAACTGAACCGATTGGACCACCGCTGACCCAGAGTCATGAGACACACACGCAGTCGTATCCATTGGTCACGATTGTGGTGATTGTGGTGATTGTGGCGCCGATTGGTGCGGATTCACAGTCACACCGATTACCACAACCGGTGATACACTTGATTCAGATGAGATGGTTAGCCGACAACAAAATGGCGGCAAATGTGAGGCGGAGTTAAGCGATGATAACTGTGGCCAGAGATGGACTGATTGTAGGCACACAACGAGACAACAGTGGACACAGTTGTGGTCAGTGTCTCAGTCTATGTGTGGCAGTGTTGACAGTGTGTGGACTGTTCACTGACTGTTGACTGACTGATCGCTACACTGATTGTCGTTTCAATGGCATTGAGTCGACTGTATGACTGTATTGCGTGTATGGCGTGAATGTCGTCAAAGCAGTCAATCACTGCTTTTCAAGTCATTCACTAATCGCTGACTCAATGCTAACTAATGTCGCAATCAATGGTCTGATTGTTTGGCCAAAAGTTTGAATCTATTGTTCAGTCATTTGTTGAGTGGAGTCAAAGTGTGTGCAAACGACCAATCAGTGCGTGAGTTGGTGTGAGTGACAGTTATGCGGTTGCTATGACGACCACACATACGGCAATACATCCGTTTCCAGCGCTACCCTACTGTCCAATTGGTCTCAAAGTGTATTGAAGGCTCAAAAGCCTGTGTTTTGCGGTGTTTTACACGCATTGCGAGTGTGGAGAGAGTGCGTGAGTGGACGGCCGGTGGTGTGCGTGTGGACGGGGGTGTGGTTGGGGGCAGTGGTGGTGTGGAGGGCAGTGGTGGTGGTGGTGGCGCCCTCTGTGTGTGGGGTAGGGCTGAGTTGGCGTCCATTTTATTGATTGACGTTTTGGTGGTACAGTAGTTGACGCGATGTGGTAGAGGCTGTGGACAGGTATGTCGCCGTTTTTCACATTACTGGCCACTCTGCGCCCATTTAGCGGGTGCATTGGCGGGGGGGTGAGGTGGGGTGGGTGTGTGGGCCCCAACAAGGGGTCAGTTTGAATGTTGAGGGCTGAGTTAGCGCAGTCTCCAATGGCATGTGCTGTGTCTGGGCCTGTGCTCCAGTGCTCAGTGCCTGTGCTCTGACTGTCTGTCTGTCAGCACCGATACTATGCACGAGAGACCACATAACGGCGCCCTAAACACAACCACTCAATGGTATTGCCATTCAATGCAAACTCCGGTCGCAGACACACACCCGATGCCTGTCCTTCACAGCGCGAGTCAAGGCGTAGGCCATCACCACTGCCAGTGCTGTTCAAACAGCACCTATATCTCGCTCATCCCCTCAGCCTCTCGCCTATCCTTCTCTATCTCTATCCCTCTCTATCCTATCAATCAGTTTCTCCAGTTTTCATCAAATGATGCTTTTGTGTCAAATAGTTGTCTCTAAATGCAGTGGTCTTGAGATTACGAGTCCGCTAAGTGTTTAGCAATTCAATGAAAGCTATGTTGGAGTATAGGTTGGGATATGGATTGCAGTCAATCGATATCTAATGGCTTTACTCCACCCCATACTGTATTGGCATCGCGAGCATCCCTATAGTCCATGAGTTTTGAATCAATATTTTTCAATATTTTGCATATCATTAGAAATTAACTCAGTTTTGCACAATATATCGTCAAATATATCAATTGAGATGCCATTCAAATTGAATCTCTACTCATTTAGTGACCCTACTTATTTAGTTTCATATATTCATATATATTGAATCAATACTATTGATACACATTTGAACATATGATATGATTTGCATTAAACGCTATTACAAATGCTTGTGAAGAGATTATTTATTTGGGAAACACTAATAACTAATATATTGTGGCAATAGATTTGAATGCAATTTATAAACTTATAAACTGCGAGACAATGTCAATGAAACCTTAACCAAACTCTAGTCAATACAAAGCCCACTCTGTCTATGATATGAGCTCTTAGTTACGGGAATACCGTATCTATAGATTGGATACCAATTTGCGACAATGAATTGTCGAGAGATTTAGCTATAAATGTATTTGAATTCTTAAGCCATTTGTATGCAATGAATGCAAATTGAAAACTGATTGATTGATTGGTTTTCAATTTCAATAGGATTTATGTAATTTTAAGAAATAAAAGTGGTTTTAATGAAACCCAAAGAGGAGGCGATGAATCATTCAGATGGCGGTGATGTCGATGATCTCAGTGACGACCCCTCATCTCCAGAAAGCGCTTCTTTCGACGACGGAGACATACTCTCGGGTCATGTACACGACGATATCACAGCACAATTGGCTGCTGCCGGTTAGGCCTTCCCATGAGTTGGCAGCCATTTGATGGTCATTAACAATGTGTCGTTTGTCTGCACCTCAGGTCCCATCGGAGTGGCGGCGGCCGCGGCCATCGCGACGGCGAAGAAGCGTAAGCGACCGCATAGTTTCGAAACCAACCCATCCATTCGCAAACGACAACAAACCCGACTCCTCAGGTCTGCCCTCCCTTTTGGGTCACACTCTTTCACCCTTTGAAACTCAATTGACTTGTATTTGCAGGAAGTTGAAGGCCACGATAGATGAGTACACCACTCGTGTGGGACAACAGGCCGTTGTCCTAATAGTCACTCCCGGAAAACCTCAGAATAACTTCAAAGTGTTTGGTGCGCGTCCTCTCGAGAATGTGGTAAGTGTTGGACACTATTCGTGATATCGTAGGCGTCGGAGCTAATAGTGATTGCTTGCGACTACAGGTGCGTCACTGCCGGTCACTAATAATGCAAGAGTTGGACACAGCTCTGGCACAACAGGCGCCGCCTCAGGTGAAGGAAGACCCGTCTCTGCATGAATTGCCTCCTCTAGTCGTTGACGGCATCCCGACGCCCGTCGAGAAGATGACTCAGGCACAGCTCAGGGCTTTCATTCCTCTCATGTTGAAGTACTCGACCGGCAGAGGGAAGCCCGGCTGGGGCAAGGAGTCGACTCGACCCCCCTGGTGGCCAAAGGACCTCCCGTGGGCTAACGTTAGGAGCGATGCGCGCACTGAAGAAGACAAACAAAAAGTAAGAAACGCTGTGTTTATCGCAACTATTAATTAATGCGACTATTGTTGTGCTTATGACAGGTCTCGTGGACTCATGCGTTGAGACAAATTGTCATCAATTGCTACAAATTTCACGGTCGAGAAGACCTGTTGCCGGCATTCAGTGATGACGAGGACAAGAGTGGCTCCAATCAGACCAAAGAGAAGGTGAAAAGTCGCAGCAGCCATAGCAGCCTCAATGTAACCAATGTTACCAACGCTGGCGGTGTGGCCACTGTTTCCACACTGTCTGAGTCTACCCTCGCTGCTCAGGGGGTCAACGTATGTCTGATAATCAGTTTCCCTTTGAAGACCAGTCGTTCATTAGACACCACTAGTTATCAATTGATTGATTGCACGATATTTGTTATTTTGTTTCACTTTTCAATCAAATTTTGCCCTTATTTTCATTCAAACATTTATGTCATTACTGAATGGTTTCATTTGATACAGTATAACCATATTATTAACCATTTTATTTATTTTAAATTTAATTTTGTTTGCGTTACGTTTGATGCTATGGTTTGCTTTGCATTTATTATGATTTGTGTTTGATTTTTGCTAACATTTGTGTTAATTTGATATAAAATCTAACGAATATATTGTTGAAATGGCAGACCCTATACGCGCAGCCCATCACACACTATGCGCCCACAATGTTGCAGACGATCAGTAATCCGGACGGAACCGTATCTATCATTCATATGGACCCCAACAGTGCTGTCGTCACATTACCCGACGGAACTCAAGCACAAGTCCGGGCCGTTAGTGCGTTAAGGGTTAGTCTTATACTCTCACTACTGATTGGCTGTGAATTGAATGTTAACATTATTTGATGTGATGGTAGATCCAGAACACGGGTAATGAGGCGAACCAAGCCGTGCAAACATTAGCAGAGATGGGTCAGGAGCACGACAAAGTCACTCAATTCGGAACCGTTAACGTGGACCTCAGCGGTGACGGCTCTACACAAACCGTATCACTAGCCGAGGCAACCATTAGTCCTGACGGACAGATCATATTAACCGGAGAAGACGGAACTCAAAGCAGTAAGTCTTATACCAAAGAAGGATATGATTTGCAGATGATTATAGATATTTGTTTGCGTGTCAATAGCATTTCCAGTCTCAGGAATGGTTACAATTCCGGTGTCTATGTATCAGACCGTAGTGACAAACATTCAGAATCTGACTGAAGCTGGTCTGCCGCTGACGATGAGTGCTATCACAGGGTCGGCGCAGTTGACAGAAGTGACTGACGGCGAGGAAGTGAACGACGCCAGCACTACGACCGTCAATATGGTAGAGGACGTGAAGACCGTACTGAACGGCACTCAGACCTCAGTTGGTGTGACGGATGAGGAGAGTTAATGAGTGAAATGACTGCCATAACTGGCATTATCTCAATGTACAGATGAGTCGAGAGATTTAGTCTCAAGTGGTGTCATATTTAGTTCATTATCGCAATCAATGTTCTCTTAATTATAGGATTAGAGTCATCCCAACCAACGCTTGTTATATTGATAGTGAAGTCGTTTCTCTTCTAGTGTTAAATAACTTTTAGTTTACATTTAATAATTATTTTCAATTAAGTGTTGTTACGGTTCAAGACTTTGTACTCTAATGTACTTAAAGACTGCGATTAAATCTGATACAAATCAATACAAACAGAACGCACTAAAGATATTAATCATTAATTCATTTTTAAGTTCAACCATAACCTAATGTACTATATATTTGAAGTGATATTATAATTATTATTAAGCTTTTAATGAGTTATATCTTGAGTTTGCAATTATTATTACTAGTGTATTGAATTGCATGTGCTATATATTGAATATAATATATTATATAAATATATATAAATATAAATTGTATATTATTTACGTATTTGCGTTCAGAATCTATTTAAACAAATCGTGAGATTTTTAGATTTATCTATAATAATGATCATTTCAATAGTTTTTTGTTGATTTAGTTTTTAAATACAGTTCCCAAAACTGATTATTATTTTTAGTTATTTTTCAACTTTTTGTATTAAACCAAAACTTGACCTAATATTATATGATTGTATTGTTTGCCAAATCTCTGACGAGTCTTAATATTGTAAAACATTTTCAAACATTTGTTTGTCTATTGAACAAAAAATTATTAACATTTCACTGAATATAAGAGCAGAATATAATGTAATTTCAATGAATGTCTCAAGTTTGGACAATATTTTTAATGCTCTCATTGAACTGTCTTTATATCTCATCATAACTTAAATGCATTATTGGTATTGTTATCAATAAATAAAATAATAATCATATAATTTATTTCAGTCATTTTTATTTATTGATTGATTTGTTTGTTTTTTAATATTCAATGACTTTATTATCAATTCACTCAAACAGACATTAAACTAATTAATTATATTCAGTATTTTGTCTTTTTATTCATATGACTGTAACAAAGTCTTTAATAAATTAAAGTCATTTGTGTATAAACTTACCGGTATATTATCATTTAATATGGACCCTCATTATCACCATAGTCAATTCATTTCCCATCACTTCAAACCAAATTCAGTATAACTTTTTATTAACTCTTTTAATGTTAGTTCTATTACCGTAATAGTACAGTAATATTATCGTGTATCTACTGTATGTTGAATTCAGTTTTAAATTCAGAATACATATTAGTTTTGAAAAGTTAGGATAATATTATCATATAGTTTATTAAATGTATCCAGCTTCTATCAATGAACTTAACAATACATACAGTAAGTGGTTAGTTAATCATTGTGGTCAAGAGGTGTGGTATATTTGTGAAAATCACATAAAATGACAAAAAATTGCTAAAATCATGTTGAAACTAGATACATATTAACTGAAACTGTACTTGCTACAATATTGTTTCACACAGAATCTGTTTGGAAGTGTTCGTAGTGGTGATGTGACTCGTTGTGTGGCGTTAGTGTTGACTGTTTTGAACGCCATTATAATGACAGCAATGATTGCAATGAATACAAGAATAGAGTACAAGAGTTTCACTCATTGTATGCATACATCGATAGTGCCATTCAATGGACACATGTGTTGACACACACACCACACACACGTCCACCCATTCAACACATTCAACACATCCAATACATCCAATACATCCAACTCTTATCTAATCTAAACTCTGGCCAACAATAACTTCAAAGTAGAAATGGTTACTTCAGAGGACACCAACACTTCCAACTGTTTGCCACAATTGGCTAACTCTTCGCCACCGCTCACACCTCAAGAGTTGACACAATTGGCAGACATTGACAGGTAAAGAGTGGTCGACCAGTGATATGGACAGTGATTGTTGACCTGATTTGATATCGTTTCAGTCGATTGTTTGGTATTCTTCGTCTGGAAGAGCCGGCGAACAGTAAAACAAAATCATTGATAACTAAGGTATGGAAGTGTTGTGCCGATCGGAGTGACCATCAAATTGATTGATTGGTGTGTCCTATGAATAGGCTATCAAAGCACTGGAGGTGTCTTTACTTCAAAGACATCTATTGCTTGAGAAGTACGAGAAGAATGCGATGGAAGCGAAGGACGACAAGGCTTTGAATGAGTTGAAGTCGGCGCCAATTGATCCGCGCATATACTGCAAGATCGGCGACTTTAACCTCCTTTTGGGAAACCATACCAAAGGTTTGTCTAAATGTCTCAATGCTATTGATGGCACTGAAGACTCATTGTATGCTTATCTGTATTATGTGTGGTGTGGACAGCGCTGTCAGCATTTCAGAGATACTTCTCACTGAACGAAGAGCACTGGAAAGTGAGTGAATGAAGTGATTGTAAAGAATATGAATTAATGTCTAAAATGGTGTTGTATTGGATGTGTCTTAAAGGATGTGCCGTTTGTCTTCAGTCTGGGTTTGGTTTACTTTCACTTCAATGCCTATCACTGGTAAGTCATAAGACATGGACTTTATTGCTATCATATAATCTATGCAAATGCCAGTCATATAAGTGTTGATCACAAGTATTGCGCCAATTAGTGGCTATTGGATGCAATTTCCTGAATGATGAGCTCACTTCAGCTCACTTGTAGCCACAACACGAGTGTTACAGCATTTGTCTCGCAAGTGAGAGAGCACTGGCAGTGAGGCACAGGCAGTCAGGCACTGGCAGTCACACCGACTCGTATCTGTTTCTCATATAATTTTAGGGAAAGTCTCTGTGAATACTGAGTTCGCAATGCATTCTGTTTTATCGGTTAGTGATTTGACTGCGAGTGCACTCACTTTTGCTGTATGTATGAAACGCTTGGAGGGGAATGGGAGCTGAGGGCGGTGTTAGGGGAATGGTTTGGTTGTATTGTATGTTGTGTTGGATGCGATGGTCGTCAGACTTGGAGTAGAAGCTCTCACTCTTTGTGTTTATATACAGATATATAGTTATAGTAATGGTATTGAATTGAGAGGAGAAGGAGAGCACTGGTAGTGAGCGACCAAAGGATGTGCTGTTTGTTGTGTACGTGAGATGTGATGTGTCTGTGCTGTGGCCGTAGTCTCGATTTAAAAACTATTTAAAATGCCTTTCATTTATGTTTATTTAAATATTTGTGACTGAAATCATTGAATTTGAGGTAAATATTTTCATGAAAAGTGATAATATTTGTTACATGAGTGCTGGTAAGGGGTGACTGTATTTGGCACTGACTTGTGAGAGAATGAGAGGTTATTCGCCTTAACATAGTATTTGTCTTTAGGCTCTTTAATGCCCTTGGATTGCATGGATTGCATGGAGTGATACAAGTGAGCCAACTGTAAGACAGCTGCAAACACGGACACAACTGTCCGCACTCGCGAGCGTACCTCTCTTTGTCTTATAATTATGTTTTACATTTAATTCAAATTATTTGTCACTTTTAACGCATTAATTGCTTCTAATGAAGGGCTCAGTTATCCGAACCGAGTCTTAATGAGATTGAAATAGTTTTATGGGACGGCTATAGCCTTAGACAGGATTTGAGAGTCACGTATGCCTTCCATATGAAAGAGTGCAGAGTCTGTGGAGTAGAGCAGACCTGTCATAAAGACACTGTGCCTACAGTTCGTACACATCTGCAGCTGCAGCTATCAAATAAAGAGGCCAACAAAGGAAAGGGTCTCACGAGCTCGAGCTGGCCCTGTCCTCCCTGTGCTCTCTCCCCTCCCTTCCCTCTGCTGCTATTGAGGAGCACTCTAATATTTATAGCCATATAGTGTTTTGGCCTCACATGTGGTGACGATTGTCTTAGTGATTGTCTGGTGACCAGTATTCTAGAGACAAGTGTCAAACTGTCAGCTTATGGACCACTTGTGACCATTTAGTGCAGCCATACATATCATAGCATAAATTGCTTTCTCCCAATGCGTGCCCTCCTATGCCCCTAAGCCTTATTTTAAATAAATATCTCAGTCCTTGGCTTCACCCCAATCGTCCATCACTTGGACTCCTGTCGTAAATGAATTTATTGCTCAATACTGTCGACCACTTTGTCAACGAATGCTGTGTTCACTCGTGTCCTACCTTTCAAGTGATTACTTGTGAAGATATTCTCAACTATTTTTTGTGTCTCAATTGGACTTATTATTAGATTCAGTATTAAACGAAGCAATTATTGAATTCCTCTATTAATCAATGATTATCTGTTGTGAACTGAAGGGCAATCAAAGCGTTTCGTCAGGTTTTATACATCGAGCCATCCTTTCCCCGAGCAAACGAATTCAGTATTAAACGAAGCAATTATTGAATTCCTCTATTAATCAATGATTATCTGTTGTGAACTGAAGGGCAATCAAAGCGTTTCGTCAGGTTTTATACATCGAGCCATCCTTTCCCCGAGCAAACGAAGCTCACGTCAGACTCGGCCTTATATTTAAAGTTCTTAACGATTATAACCTCTCACTAAAGGTAAGCCAACTATTTAGAAATGTATGTAATTATACCAATTAATTGAAATCCATGTGAACAGCACTTCCACTTAGCACTGAATGACTCGAATGTGTGTTCAGTCAGCAAATTAGAGAGTATGTAATGATTTGAATGATTTTCAATGAGTTAATTGTAATTGTAATGAATGTCTCCAATGACAGTCCAGTTTCATATCGCACACCTGTTTGAGATTCAGGGCAAACATAAGTTGGCTAAAGAGTCGTATGAATCACTTCTCGAAGAGAAAGAGCTATCGGTTCAGTTACGGGCGGACATATACAAGCACTTGGGTTGGATGCACCATATCTTCGACACATTGGGTGACAAACAGCAGAGACAGTCATACGCTTTGAATTGCTTGAAGAGCTCCATTGAATCGGATCCCGACTCGGGTCAGAGTCTATACTTCTTAGGGCGCTGTTACGCAAGTCTGGCCAAAGTTCACGATGCGTTCATCTCTTATCGCAATTCGGTGGACAAAGCAGAGGCCAACGCCGACACCTGGTGTTCAATAGGGTATTAACCAGTGTTTGTCCGTCAAAGTGGTCCGTAAAAGCTAATAGACTTTGTGTTTGGTTGTGTGTAGTGTCTTATATCAGCAACAGAACCAGCCTATGGACGCACTGCAGGCGTATATATGTTCAGTTCAGTTGGATAAGAGTCACTGCAGCGCGTGGACTAATCTCGGCATCCTTTACGAGAACTGCAATCAACCTCAAGACGCACTCAAGTGCTATCTCAACGCTTCCAGAGGCAAAGGTCTGTCATATTAATTGTTTGAAAATTAGTTGAAAACAAAAGCAAAAACTACTTGAGAACCGGTACTAATGGAATGGTTGTACTGATAGGCACTCTAATCGCTGGTCTCTCAGAAAGGGTTAAGTTTTTGCAAACACAGCTCTCGAATGCACCGCTCAATAGCACACAGAGGTATTGATTGACACGATTTGATTATATTTGTCGCAATCGCGAGATATGGTATTCGCGGTGATAATGTAGTGCTTGTATTGCAGTCCCAAATCCCTGCCCTGTATAGAGGATGCCTGGAATTTCCCCATCTCTCAAGAGATGGCTTCGCGACAAAACGCATTCCAACGACAGAATCAAGGCTTAACCCCGAACGAGGATACCTTTCCTAACGTTAAACGTCAAAAATTGGAGGGCCCCTCAAGAATGCCCGTTCAAATGAACCCCACTGTTACACCCCAGTCCCCTCTCTACCTCAACCAACAACAGATGCAAATCATGAATTATTTGCAACAGAATCAGGTTTGACTCAAAGCCCCGTCCGTCAGGTGTTTCGGTATTCATTGATTGTGCGCTCATTTCAGGCAAACCTGAGTCCACAGCAGAAGAATCTGCTTCAACAACAGTGTCGTCTGCTTTCACAGCAAAAGCAAATGTCTTTATTAAAGCAGCAGTCAATGCAAGCGCAGACACCACCGCCTTGTGCTCCGACGGCTGCCTTTGCAGCTGACGCCACGAACTCCCTGTCCAGTGAGGACTCAATGGCCGTTCAGATGAGACCACCACTGAACCAAAGCATTCCGCACTTGCAGTCGGCCTCTAAAATGTCACCTCAAAGTGTTCAGCAAAAGATGGGTCCGTCCAGTGGTCCCGTCGGCGATGACTCTGCACTCAATCGGTTCAACGATCAGGAATTGCAGTCATTGTTATCGCAACGACAGGCAACCACTTCGATGACTGAAGACCTCATCTCTCAGTTCAGCTTCGGGTCTGAATCGACTCAAACCACTCAATCAACTCATTCTAGTCATAATAACATCACTGCCAACACCAGTAGTGCCCAAATCAGTACTAATAGCGAACAAACAATCGCTTCATTCTTGTGTTCAGACAATTCAAAGCTTTCTCAACTCAAAAGTGTTGACAATTCGTTGACATCATTGGCATCGCTTCCATTTTCATCCACTTCTAGTCAGAGTCAGCCGCAGCTCAATATTAAAATGACCGCAAAAGAGATTATCAACAGTTGTAAGAAACAGCCAAAAAACACACGCATTGTTTCCAGCCTTCTATCAGATGACGGGCGACCGCCTATACCTCCGGATCCACCGTATCCTCCGTTGCCTAACGATAAGCTGCATCCGGCGGCGCCCAGTGTTTTCGTGAGTGTTCTACTCATTCATATCTATTGTACTCTATATTTATGACAATTCTGACCACAGCTCGAGAACAAGAAGGAGGCGTTTTCAGCACAATTGCATGAGTTTTGTTTAGCACATCCTATTGCTGTCATCAGAGGACTGGCCAGTGTTCTCAAACTCGGTTTGTTTGTCAAATATCTTGTCTAAGAGTATATCATAATCCCTTGCATTCAATGAATTGTGTAGATTTGGGGCTATTCTCCACCAAAACTCTTGTTGAGGCGAATCCCGAACATCTGATTGAAGTGAGGACTCAATTACTTCAACCATCGGATGAGAATTGGGATCCAGAGAGAAGGCAAATGGTGTGGAGGTGTGAGAGTCATCGCTCGCACACGACGATTGCCCGGTACGCCCACTATCAGGCCTCCTCTTTCCAGGAGTCCCTCCGAGAGGAACAGGAGAAGACTTTGGGACTCTTTAGAGATTCCGACACCGATTCCAACTCTTCCGCGCCGTCCAAGTAATACGAGTTTTGATGCTTTCATTTGGATTTGTTGTCAATTTTGTGATTATGTTTTCAGAGGAAAGAAGAGCAAAAGGAACGGTTCGTTCAAAACCGTTAAGTTTGGAACAAATGTCGATCTCTCGGATGAGAAGAAATGGAAGACACAGTTACAGGAGTTAACGAAATTACCCTCATTTGCAAGGGTTGTGTCGGCCGGCAATATGCTTAGCCATGTGGGACACGTGATTCTCGGCATGAATACAGTTCAGCTATATATGAAAGTTCCCGGCTGTCGAACACCTGGCCATCAGGAGAACAACAACTTTTGCTCCGTTAATATAAACATAGGGCCCGGAGATTGCGAATGGTTTGGGTGAGTAAAGTGTGGACCAAAACGACAACTTTCCTTTTAATCGAGAAATTATTACATTTAGTGTTCCCGACGAGTATTGGGGAGTCATTCAGAGAATGTGTGAAAAGTAAGAGTCATTTAGAAAATGCTATGAATATAATGAAAACTAAATGACTGACTGATGACAGGAATAACCTAAACTATTTGCACGGCTCGTGGTGGCCAATACTGGACGACCTCTTCGCTGATAATATACCTGTCTATCGGTTCCTTCAAAGGCCGGGAGATCTGGTTTGGGTGAACGCGGGAACAGTACATTGGGTACAGGCTGTCGGCTGGTGTAATAACATAGCCTGGAATGTGGGTCCTCTCACTGCCAAACAGTACTTTTTAGCCGTCGAAAGATATGAATGGAATAAATTAGAGAACTTTAAGTCCATTGTTCCGCTCAAACACTTGACGTGGAATTTGGCGCGAAATATAAAGGTCTCTGAAGACGAACTCTTCCAGAAGATTAGGTCTGTTTGCGAGTCATTTAAGTGAAAGTAAACCGTATATCATATATAACTCTAAATGTGATATATTATAGGAACTCATTGATGAGAAGCCTAAAGCTCTGCCAAATGACTCTTCAATACGTGGAGAGTGTTGGCCGTGAGATCCGATGGCACGGGAGAGGCAAGAATGAGGCGGCACACTATTGCGTCAACTGTGAGGTGAGTGACATACCTGTGCCATGCTTTGACACAATCTAATGATGTTTGGTTTGACAGTTGGAAGTGTTCAACATGTTGTTCGTACGGGAAGTGGATAAGAAGCATGAGAACAGTACATTGGGTACAGGCTGTCGGCTGGTGTAATAACATAGCCTGGAATGTGGGTCCTCTCACTGCCAAACAGTACTTTTTAGCCGTCGAAAGATATGAATGGAATAAATTAGAGAACTTTAAGTCCATTGTTCCGCTCAAACACTTGACGTGGAATTTGGCGCGAAATATAAAGGTCTCTGAAGACGAACTCTTCCAGAAGATTAGGTCTGTTTGCGAGTCATTTGAGTGAAAGTAAACCGTATATCATATATAACTCTAAATGTGGATATATTATAGGAATTCATTGATGAGAAGCCTAAAGCTCTGCCAAATGACTCTTCAATACGTGGAGAGTGTTGGCCGTGAGATCCGATGGCACGGGAGGGGCAAGAATGAGGCGGCGCACTATTGCGTCAACTGTGAGGTGAGTGACATACCTGTGCCATGCTTTGACACAATCTAATGATGTTTGGTTTGACAGTTGGAAGTGTTCAACATGGCTAAGCATATTGCCGGCCGACACAACCCTTGCAAATGAGGGTAATTTCGTTAACTCCTGTAACTGTGTCTTCCATTTCTTCTCATCCGAGAGATCGACATTTGTTCCAAACTTAACGGTTTACACTATTGCGTCAACTGTGAGGTGAGTGACATACCTGTGCCATGCTTTGACACAATCTAATGATGTTTGGTTTGACAGTTGGAAGTGTTCAACATGTTGTTCGTACGGGAAGTGGATAAGAAGCATGTGGTGCACTGCCTGGACTGCGCCCGTAAGACGAGCCCCACTTTAGAGGGGTTTGTCATTCTGGAAGAGTACACATTGGATGAGTTGATGGAAGTGTACGACAACTTCACTCTACACGCAGTCGGTGTGACGTATTCGTGACTGAATTCGTGATTGAGTTGAATGTCATTTACTTAATACCTGAGCTCTTGTGCGAACATTTTGTGATAGATATACTCTAAGACTAGAAGCGGTCACTCATTGGATATATTGACGACTAAATCCAAAGTACAATAATTAGCGTTAGTTTTGCGTTTTCTATTGATTTTAGTGTCGGATATTATATTCATATGTAATATATTTGAGGTAAAGGTTTACACAAAACAGTTATTTATTGTATAATAATTGAAGAAATGGTATAAAATATGTTACAATAGAATGAATGCGCTTTCAATCACATCTCAATCCTTACGCTATGACTACTGCCATGTATTATATAATGAATAAGTTATACAATATTTAATACATTTTATTTTATAGTTTATTTAAATCCAAACTATTTTGTGATTATTTCTAATGACTAATACATTAGCAATGCACTCATCTATAGCTTCGATCATTGAGTTTAACTACTATTTCGACTTTTAGTTCATTGAAAATGAGTTTTATAACTATTTAATGGTTTTGATTATTACACAAAATATATTCATTGACTTAATTATGATTATTATTATAAATTTAATCTTTATTTGATCTCAAATATAGTTTATTTGTATTCATATTTCATTCACATAATCATTGTTTTGGAAAATTTCATTTTGTAATTAAGTATACATTTACTATCAATACTATAAATAATGTATTATTTATTTGATATAAAATTGTTTTTAATATATCTTTTATTTCACATTTTATTCGTTATGGCTTATTTTCCTTATGAAAAACTTATTTTGAATAATAAATATTACTATAATTATTTACCAAATAGAACGAGTAAAGATTTTCATGAGAAGTAAGTAGAATAAGAATTGAGTTTTCGGAACTTTAATATAGTTGTGGTCAAAAATAGGAGGTCACACCTCACTGGATACCAATTCGTTGCTTATCCTAAGGGACTAATCTGTGCTCATTATAACCAACATTTCAATTAAATATCACTTCAATTCATTGGGGATTATCGTTCACAGCTAGCAGATTAAGCACATAATCATGGTCATTAACTCATTATCATTCATTTACAATCAATACCAATGAGAGTGATTTTCGTGTATTAATACTGGTATCATAGATGGATACATGTATTGCAACATTAGTTTCAAAAGTTCTCAAAGTTTTTCATCACTTCTAAAGCCCTTCACTCCATCTCTAGACTAGTGATGAACACAACATATGATTGAAAAAGTGATGTAAACTGACCGTACATTGACTATTGGTGCTGATGATCACTGCCCTGGTCTTATGTCTTGGCATCAATTCACTTGTCTGACCACTCATTTCATGTCTTAACATGCATTTCATTAAACAAATTATAATGATTATAGAGATGAGTAAATAAAACAACATTTGGTGAGAAATACAGTGAAAAGTGTTGACAAACTAGTGTATGTAACTTACCAATACTCTCACTTCCGTCACCACCCCGACAGCCCTCCTCACCTGTCGTGACAGCGGCGTGATGAGGAGTTTGCTTTCCCAGTAAGTAAAGTGAACTTAACGAAAATGTCAGTATTAATGATTGCAATTAATTTAGGCTTTCATTTGATGGGTATTTATATGAATAATTGGGTCGAAGATAACAATCAAACCATTTGTACGAACGATGACAACCGGCAATTAGCTCAAGAAGTTTGTCATAAACTGGACATTGAGTTCAAAGAAGTGAACTTTTCTAAGGATTACTGGAATAATGTCTTCAGGTTTGCCATGAGTTGTCTTTTCACATCAATCATAACTAGACTTAGTATTTGTTATAAAAGTTTTAACTAACCTAGTTTATAATCAATAAATAACTCCTCAATAAGAAGCCCTTTCTGAGGTTTAGGCCTGCATTACACATTATTTATATATTTCAAACCCTGTAAACAATTGATAACATGCCTAGTCAACTTTCACAATTGCATTGCCACCGGGCATTACGCCGGAACTTCTTATGGAGATTTGTGGCAATACTATGACAACGATATACCCGTTCGCCTCTTGAGGCCTAAGGATAAGACCAAAGACCAGACATTGTTTTTGTCACAAATTAGCCAAAAATCCCTGAAGAAAGTGATGTTTCCTTTACAACATTTATTCAAATCTGAAGTCAAATCAATTGCTTTAAGAAATGGTTTCGAAAAAATAGCTAAAAGACGAGAGGTTTGACTCATATTTCAGGCAAATCTCAATCTGTTTTAAATCAAAACCTTTCTATAATTGTAATGATATTCAGAGTCAAGGAATTTGTTTCATTGGGAAAAGAAATTTCCAAAAATTTATTGAACAATATATTGAACCAAAACCGGGAAAATTCATAGACATTGACAGTG